CAGTAGTCTAGTTCCAATACAGCCTCCTGGGTCTCAGGCAAACAAACTACTTTTAATAGTAGGTCTTGGGAAAGCACTAAAAATAGAACAAGGGAGCCCCATGCATAGCCAGGGCGGGATCAACAGAGGCAAGTGGAGGGGAGGAATCTCATCGCATGGATAAGTTAGGGCACGTGCAGGTTGTAAAGCAAAAAAAATCAAGGTCCATGTCCTGAGAAGTGCAATGAAAGACTGAAATGTAATGCTAGAGGGGAGGAGAACAGTTGTCAATTCCTAAATGGTGCTTGATGACAATCTGTTTCTAAAGCTAGCTATTAAGCTAAGAGTGTCTACTTCCTAATCTGTCACTGACAAATACAAAGCTTGCTACATGTCACTTGTTGGAGTTTCATTCTTTGTGTGGCACGCACCTTGCCTTTCAGGTTATCTCTAAAGAAAATGGAAAAAGTGGGGTGCCTGGTGGCTCAGTTGTTAAGTGTCTGCCTTTGGTTCAGGTCCTGATCCCAGGGTCCTGGGATCGAGCCCCGCACCAGGCTCCCTGCTCAGCGGGAAGCCTGCTTCTCCCTCCCACTTCCCCTGCTTGTGTTACCTCTCTCACTGTGTCTCTTTTTGTCAAAAAATAGATAAAATCTTTAAAAAAAAGAAAATGGAAAAAGTTTGGACCTGCCATTCTTTATTCTTCCTTGCTTCCTTCCTTCCTTCTTTTTTTTTGGTTGGGGGGGCAGAGAGAGAGAGAGAGAGAATCTTAAGCAGGCTCCACGTCCAGCACAGAGCTCATCATGGGGCGTGATCATGACCTGAGTCGAAATCAAGAGTCAGATGCTTAACTGAGACACCCAGGTGACCCACAAATCTTTCTCTTGGGACATGAAATTACCTTCTACAGGAAACTGTCAGAAATCTGTTGGGTAAAACCTGATGAACTACTCAGTGCAGCTTTGAAATGCCAGAGGACAGTGCCCATCTGCTCTCTGCATGGGAAGGAGAGGAGAAGCCAAGGGGTTGGTCATGGCACAGAAAGTCAGTGATGGTGGGAGAAGAGTTAAATGTTTTCACTTTGCGTGAAAGAGACACTTGTATCTTCCTAAAGCAGAGACCAAGGGAAAAGTGGGTAAGTAAGAGGAATTGCCGTTGTTTCTTACACTGGCTAGGAAGAGACACATGACTTAAGGTATATTCTGTTGAGAAAAGGTGAAACTTATGCCCATGCAGAAGGAAGAAAAACCAACATTCATATTCATCATTCATATTAAAGAAGGAAAAAAGGGAAAGTATTTAACTACTTAAGAGTGAAACCCTATGATCTCTCTGTCTCAAACTTTCACACCATTTCCTTCCTCCCTCCCTTCCTTCCTTCTTACAAATATTTATTGACTGCCTGTGTGCCAGGCTCTGGGCTAAGTTCGACAGACTATATCACCATGGATTTTTTTTTTTTTCTTTTTCCCCCTTAGATGTATGCATTGAACTGAATGTGCCCATGCCCCAAAACCCACATGTTGAAACCGAATACCCAAGATGATGGTATCTGGAGATGGGGTCTTTGAGAGGTGATTAGGCCATGATGATTGTATGAGTGCCCTTACAAAAGAGATGGAAGACAGCTCCCTTGCCCTTTCCACCATGTGAGGACACAGCAAAAGGAAGGCACCCTATGAACCAGGAAGCAGGCTCCCCCAGACATCAGATCTGCCAGCATCTTGATCTCGGACTTCCCAGCCTCCAGAACCGTGAGAGACAAATGTTTATTTTTTTTTTAATTTTATTTATTTATTTGAGAGAGGGCACAAGAGTGGGGAGGGGCAGAGGGAGAGAGAGAAGACTCCCCACTGAGCAGGGAGCCCAAAGACCCCAGACTCAATCCCAGGACCCCAAGATCATGAGCTGAGTGGAAGGCAGATGCTTACCCCACTGAGCCACGCAGGTGCCCCAGTGTTTGTTGTTCACAGCAGCACTGCTGTGGTGCTCCCTCATAGCAGCCTGAAAAGACTGAGACAGATGACTGTGAACTTCAGATATTCATTATGGTGCCTTAGATTCGTAGTTTTAAAATCAGTAAGATTTTCTTTTTAATATTTATTTATTTATTTATTTATTTATTTATTTGAGAGAGAGGAAGAGGGAGCAGGGGGAGGGGAGGCAGAGGGAGAAGCAGACTCTCCGCTGAGCAGGGAGCCCTACACGAGGCTCCATCCCAGGCACCTGGAATCATGACCTTAGCAGAAGGCAGACACTCAACCAACTAAACCACCCAGGCGCCCCCCAAGTCAGCTTAGATTTGTATTTCCAAATAACTTAGAGAGGAGCTCTATTTTGCACTTAGGGCTGGACCTTGCGCTCCTGACTCTCTGTCACCATCTAGAGGCAATTTGTACATATTGCAGGGCTAGTTCTGGGAATATTGAATAAGCACAGTCATGTCAGAGGTTAGTTATGGCTGGCTTTGGCCTGTTTATTTACTGGCCCTACAGAAGACAGTGGACCCAGTCATCCGCAAATGGGTGGAAATGGAAGTTATGATCTCTCCAACTGTGAGTACATGAGAAATGGGTCTCAGTTTCTGTACCAGACCATGGAGGGTGGGGATCTACAGAGTGCAAAAGTTTCCTAGGGTTTGGGAGGACAGCTGGAAAACCAGTGGGGGAGAAGCCACTTACATCAGGTTCAAGAGGAGGCCTCCACCCTCTTGGTGTCCAGGTCTTTACTGAGACCACATAAAGCACGGAAGTCACCAGCATCAGGAGGCCCCCGCAGGTGCTTGCTACAAATGCATATCTGCCCCCGCCACACACAAAATCTGCTGAATCAGGATTTCCATGGTGCATGGCCCAGGAATGTGCACAGTAAGCCAGCATCACAGGTGATATTGATGCACATTAAAATCTGACATCAGATGTATGAAGTAACAGAAATGCAGTGTATCCCCTGTCCTCACTTTTAAAGCCCACATATAAAGTGCTTAGAAAAATACAGTCAACCCTTGAACTATCTTTCTGATACCTCGTGTTTACTCCCGTTTCACATTATAGAGCGGAGACCACTAGAACAGAAACATTATGTTGGGAAGCCCTGCTGGTTTGTTCAACCTGGATTTCCTCACTGTGTGGCCTTTCCCAAAGGCATTCCCCAGCACGAGGGCTCTGCTTGGGCAGCCTGGGGGTCGCCTCGTCGCTGCCGTGTCCAGGGAAACAGACTATGCGTACTGAGTTGTCACTTGTCCTAAGCTGCGACCTGGACCTCATCTTAACCACCTCGGTACTCTTAGGACTGCAGCAGGGTCCACATCCCCCTCTCCTGCTACCATCCTGGTCCAGGACGCCTCATTATTCACCTTGACTCTAGTGAGTTTGCTTACCCCTCTGGCCCGACCTTAGCAACTCTAGTCCTGATCCCCACAGATCAGAGACTCTGTATTAGAGATAATGCTGCCCTCCCCCCTCTCTCTCACACATCTTAAATCTAAGACTCCTGCATGCTTACCCCAGTCTACAAGGTCCTGGCGACTTGGCCCCTCCGCTCTCTGCCTCTCCCCCTGGACTGTAACTCGCTCACCAGGGCGAGCACTTTTCACGCCCAGAGACCTTCACTTCTGTTGTGCCCCCTCTGCTGACACACAAGACCTTGTTCCTCTCTTCCCTTGTAGAACTAGCACTCTCTTTGGTATTATTTGAAATGTCAGCTCAGAAGAGACATCTGACACACTCTTATCCCTATTCCTAGCTAAATTAGGTAGAGCTGTTATTCTTTCTACTTTAGGAGCCTGTTCTGTTCCTTTATAGTATTTCTGATCATCTGGGTTCTGGCATGTGAGAGCCTTTCCTCCCGGCCTAGACTATATTCCGTTCATCTGTGCACACAGTCGGGATCCAAAGATCAAGTAAGTGTATCGAGTAGATGAACAGGCACGCGGGAAGTGAGCCGCACATTCACGGGGATGGCAGCACGGTTGTGGTGGTTGAGTTCTGGGAGTTGTAGTGTTTGGGGCCAGGGCTCAGTCTTGAGAAGCTGGAGGCAGGGTCACAGGGAGAAGAAAGAGGAGAAGCAGCTAGGCCACCGCCATCGGTGCAGGCTGCGACCAGACTCAGGGTTCCAGCCTTCCGGGCTCCCCTAGATTTGCCAGCGCCCACGGTTTCCTTGGGTAGCTAGGCTCCCTTGAGCCCAGCTGAGCCTAGGTTCCTCGTCTTTCTCGAGGGGTTAATAATTCCCACCTTGCAATAATAGGGCCCGAGGTAAATGAGACAAGGGGGCTGGGTAGCACCTGGTACTTGGGAGGCTTTGCGAACGCCGAATACGAGGGCTGTCTCGCCGGAAGACTTGTCCAAGAGAAGTCTGCACAGGCACCGGGAGGAGTCGCGCCACTTACCTGAGCCTGCCCCCTCCGCTCAGCCCGCGGTGCGCTTAAATTACGTTTTCCAAGCCTGACCCAGGGCGCTCCCCCCTCCCTCCCCTCCACTCCCCCACCTCCCCTCCCCCTCCGCCTCCTCCCTCGGAGCGGGAGCCGGGGATCCCACGCCCTTGCACCAGCCCGGGGGCTCGGACGGGCCCGGGAGCCGCTGGTCGCCAATCACCGTGCGGTGGAGAGGCGGGCGCTCGGCTCGGCGCGCCGGGGGAGCCAGCTGGCGCTGCTTTCCCCGGGAGCCTCAGACGCTCACACAGACAGACGCACAGACTGGCGGGCAAGCGAGCGGGCAGGCACGGACAGAGTCCGCCGGCCGCCTGCGCTCGGAGGCGCGCGCCAGCCCGGGCCCGGGGAGCCCCCGTGCCCCCCGGGAGCCGCAGGCAGGCAGCTCCGCGGGCCGGCGCCGGCAGAAGGGAGGGCGCGCGGGCGGCCGGAGGAGGGGAGGCCCCGGCGCGCGCGGCCCGCGATGTGAGCGGCGGCGGCTCCCACCTGGCGCCGCACCTGGGGCGCCGCGCTCCGGGCCGGCGGGGAGAATGCGCGCGGCCAGTGCGCTCCGCCCGCCGCGTCCGGCCGCCCGCAGCCGCCGCGCCCGCACCTGACCATGGAGTGCGCCCTCCTGCTCGCGTGCGCCCTCCCCGCCGCCCGCTCGGGCCCGCCGTGGGGTCCGGCGGGGCTGGGGCGCGTGGCCAAGGCAGGTGCCCGCCGCGGGGCGCGCCGACAGCGGGGGGCGCCCGGCGCAAGCCCCGCCGCGCCTCCTCACGCGCGGTGTCCCCTTTTCTCTTGCAGGCGCTCCAGCTGTGCTGCCTCTGTTGTGCGTCGGTCGCCGCAGCCTTAGCCAGTGACAGCAGCAGCGGCGGCGGCGGCGGATTAAACGTTGGTTCGTATTTGCTCCCACCCCGAGAAGGACCTTTCCAGTCGCTTGCCCCTTCTTCCCCCCCCGAAAAGAGAGAAAAGTAGAAAGGCGCCTGCCACCGCCCTCCTCCCCAACCTGGCAGGTGTGCGCGCGTCCTGGAAGGGGCTCCTGTTTGGGGGCGGAGGGTGGTGGGGATGTGGTCAGGACTCTGAACTTATCAAAAGAATCAGTGCCTCAAGCTGTAAGTCCCATAAATGAGAAAACAGTACTTTCCTTCGTTCACAGATGGCTTGTTTAAAAAAAAAAAATCCTTACTATGGTGAGAAATTAGGAAGTGGACGAGATGGTTGATATCAAAAGGCACCTTCCTCATTCCCTTCCTCCTTTGGGAAAGCCTGCAGGAGCTACTTTTTTGGTGGAAGATGAAAAAACTGTGAGCCCTCCCCTCCCCCCTCTTGCCTCCTCCCTTTTCTGCCCGTTTGTGTTCCTGATCTTCCTTTGCTTTTCTGCTTCCCCTGCCCTTGTGTCACGAGTTCCCAAAAACTGCTTTGAGAGAGAGGAGAGCAGGTAGCTTGAGATCTCTGGGGCCTTTATCTCTTCTGAGGCTCCCAACTGTGGGGTCCCAGAACACCTTCCTGGTCTGTCATTTATTAACTTCTCGTTGGCACCCACCAGCTACAGGAGAAGAGCCGATCCAGGTGTCTAGCAAGACCTTGATGTCCAACCCAGATTCTAGAATTTTTAGCCTTGCAGGGTTATCTGCCGCTGCAGTGGGAGAGAGCAAGGCATACTGGGGAGGCAGGGCATGGCAGAGTCATGGAGTAAAGGCTAGGGAGATGTGGGTGAGTGAGGGGACAGGAAAGAGCCAGGAATGAACTCTTGAGAAATTCACTTTTTGTCCACCCAGGGGGGCTGACTGCATTTTCTAAAACAACCCCTCATTGTTCCATGTATAGTTTCCGGACCGCATCTTTACTTAGTCCCGGAGCTGACCGATTAGATCACTCCCTGCAGGAGGCTCTGACTGCCTCTCTCTGTCCAGCGCTGAGTACCATCCACCTGCTCATTCTCCCCTTGGAAACAAACTTGTAGCTGTGTCTTGGGCAGGGGTCTTTGTGGGCTGAGTGCGTGGACGGTTGGCTGGAGAAGGCTACCCCATGGCCTCCTGCGTAGAAGCAGGCAGAGTTTTGGGTGGGTTTGGGCAAGGAGGTAAGAAATAACTTCTTGTACAGTCTAGAGCACGTGCAGGCGGGGTTTTCACACTTAGCTTTTAGTATGGTGGAGGAAGGAGGTGTTTTTTTACTAAGAAAAAGTTGGATTTAATCAAAAGTCGCCTACCTGTAAAGCAACGTAGCCGATTTTTGAAAGAGAAATTGTCTATGGCGTGCTTAGTGGGTTTTTTTTTCTTTTTTAAGTTTAAAAGAGGAGAAAAAGTTTTCCAGTTGTTTTTAAAGACGTGTGTCAGTTAGATAGTATTTCTAGTTAAAGGACTCAAGGAGAAAATGGGAGAGGCAAGATATAAAGTCCATTGTGAGAATGGGAATTGCTCAAGCAATAAGGGTCACACATGGTTCATACAGAAGAAAACAGCTGAAGTTATGATCCTGTTGGGATCCCCCCCCCCCCCCGCAAATGTAGGCTCAATTAGAATATCCCACATCGATTCCTGTTAGCTACAGGGCTTCTGTTCATTCCTGAGCTTTTCTTATTTGGTTGTTGACTATTTTGGGAAAAGGGAAATTCCTCTTTCTCTTCCTCCTCCAGTAACCAAGGACCGAAGTGACTCAAACATGCCTCTTAGTTATTTGGAATCTTTCTAAACACTTTCCAAATTAGTTTCCCATTCTGTGCCTAGAAAGTGGAAACGCGGAGTGTGTCTGAACACGCAGAAGGCATGCTCCAAATCATTTTGTGATGATACTTCTCAGTTTCCACGTTTTGCGATAGAAAACAGTGTGCGTGCTTCAATTTTCCAGCAGCAAATAGTGTTGTTGTTTTTTTTAAGCTCCTCCCCTTTCGAACAAGCAGCAATTAGTGCCGTTCTTGAGAGCAAGGGGGAAAGTATTTTGAAACTTGCCTTTCCAGGTGTCCCCTGACTGACACTCCCCCACCAACATGTCTGAGCAATCTTAAACATCAGACACTATAGGAAAGTTCTGACAATTTTGAGGCATTTTTATGCATCCACTGTATTTTATGTCTACAGCGAAATGGGATTGTCCCTGTAAAAGCTCGGAGTGAAATGTTCAGAGCTGTACAGGTGCTGGGGTTTTATTATCACATATAGTTAATATCGGAAATATGAAGCTGCTGGTAGGTGCTCGTTATCTGAGATGGTTTCAAGTTACTCAGCACTGTCAGTTACCATTTGAAATTTAAACTCAGCCTCCCCAAATGCTCCCAATTCAGTTTAAACACGAAGATGTTAATCTCCTCAGGGGGGAAAAAAAAAGTTCTTTTCTCTTCTTTTGTGGTCTTACACTTATTTTCTCCCCTCCCCCCCCATCACTTTTTATGTATGGATGGCTCTGACTCATGTACTCACTCCATCTGTCTCCGTGCAGACCATGAGAGAGAGTTGTGGCATTTTCCGCCAGCATTCTTGACATTCACGAAGCCGTGCTTGACTTTTCATTTCTGTCGGAATTACCATCACAGAGCTCATTTGCACAGGCCACAGAGCTCCCTTCGTCCAGCCTCTCTGAGTTGTCGTCGATCTAGGTGCATGGAGATGGGAACAAAGCCACCTTTGAGCTGCGCGTTTGCTCTCTGCCAGCCTGTGGCAGGGGGACCCTCTGGGGCTGTGGGTTCTGGGTGCTGACAGCGAAACCTTTCCCATTGCAGATTACGTCTTTGTCACGCCGGTAGAAGTGGACTCGGGCGGGTCATATATTTCACACGACATTTTGCACAACGGCAGGAGAAAGCGATCGGCGCAGAGTGCCAGCAGCTCCCTGCATTACCGATTTTCAGCATTTGGACAGGAACTACATTTAGAACTTAAGCCCTCGGCGATTTTGAGCAGTCACGTTATCGTCCAGGTACTTGGAAAAGACGGTGCTTCCGAGACGCGGGAACCCACAGTGCAGCGATGTTTCTATCAGGGATTTATCAGAAATGACAGCTCCTCTTCCGTCGCTGTGTCTACGTGTGCCGGCTTGGTAAGTACCCCACGCTCGGGGGCGACTCCCTCGTTCGTGGGTTTTGTGTAACTTGAATGAACAGATGTCTGCAATATTAAGCGTTCTTCCAGCCAACTCGGCACATTCACACTGTCAGCTTTGATACTTATAATATTCTCAATTGAATTAATCTAATCTGCTCCCAGAAAAAGAAAATAGAATAGAACTTTAATTACCATTTAGAACATTCTTTTGATGTTTAATGGTCTGGGCTTCTTTATTCTCCATGTTTGAGACGCTCCCCAAGGAAATTAACTTGATGGATGCCATTCGCTTTGTAAAAAGTCTTGGGAGACCCAGGCATTATATAAATCTAACAAGCTGATTGCCTCTACATTGCTTTGAAATGGGAAAACTGTATTTCAATGCAAAATTGTGTTCGGCCGCCCCCATGAAGCCCAACCTTCACCGTGGAAGGGAAGCCTTTTGTTTTCTTTTAACTAATCTGTTTGTGTCCTGCGCACATAAGGCATCCTTTTAGAGTGTGATGTGGTGTGCTTGAGGGCTGGCGGGCTTGAGCATGGCATCCGGGGTGCAGGGCACTTTAAGCGTTCTTTCCTCTCGGTGGAATCCTCAACAGTGGAGCTCCAGGCCAAGGGTATTGGTGTAAAGGATGCTTGTCTCAGGGTTCAGTGAAATCTGTGAGGCTGTAAACGGGGTTCCGGGTTCATTGCAATTGACGAGCGTCTTGAACAGACGTCAGAGTGTCTCTCTGTTGGGACCCCCCGTGGTCATGCTCCTGGCACGGCCGGAAGAAGGAAAGTGTGAGAAAGCCCATTTGAGAATGTAGTTGGTAATGGACTTGGTGCATCAGGACACAGACCAAGAGGGGCTGGTGTAGGTTCCTGTGAATGAAAACTCCCACGTCCTTCACTAGTCAAGACTTTATTATTTAACTTCTTTTTCACATCATGGCCTGAAATTTAGCTAACACCTTTCGTCACAGAGTTCTGATAGTCTTTGGTGTAATCTTTGAATTATAGGGCAAAGCAAAGATTTAAGAAGTCTCAACAAAGCTTGATCCATTTAGACGGTTAGTATGACTCGTTGATGACCTATATGTTCTGACATGGTTACACACACACACACACACACACACACACATACACACACGTGAATCCTGGGAGTTTTGTTTGACTTGGTTGTGGTTGTGATGAGTCTCCTGCTCGTTTCTGGGCATTCTACTATTTCTCCCGCTCTCCTGTCTGTTCCAGTACCCTAGCACCTTCAGGAGGTTGGGCATCTCACCACAGTGGCTTGGACTAGCCCAGTCCACGTAACACACTGGGTGAGAGCAGTCTGTTCTGGGCCATTGCACGCCAGCACTCACTAGTAGAACCTTGGGCGAGTTATTAACCTCTGTGCGTCTTAGCGTCTTCATCTCTAAAATGGGAATAATAAGGGGGTTTACATCACAGGGTTGTGGGGACTAAGTGACTTCTTCCAGGGAAAATGCTTCCAGGGAAAACAGCAATTCCTGGCAGGGAATAATCGCCCTGTCGCTGTTCTAGTTCCAGCAAAACTTAGCCACTTGATGTTGATTTCTCTTGGGATTCCACTTTCTGCCAATGATCACTTGCCTCATATTAATAGATGTCAGGTGATTTCTCCTAAAGAGGAGATTCATACGGAGCAAATGATCCCAGAACACCTAGTAATGAGGCAAATTACAATTTTCCATCGTGATGTGAAAATTGTGATGGTGTCTAAGAAGTAACTGACAGCCACTTCTGCCTGTGTATAAGGCCGACATGAATTAGAATCATGAAATTCAGATTCTGTCCCCACTGCTCAACAGACCAGCCACATGTACTTCATTAAATAACTTCTCTAGGTCTCAGTTTTCTCTCCTGAATTACGTAGAATAATTTCTCAGACTCCTGCCATCTCTAGGCATCTGACTCTGATGATCCGATTTGTTGACCCTGGCCAGACTGGCTTGCTGTGGGGCAGGGCAAGAATCCAGCTTCTCCCCACTGTATTACCCACGTCTCCATGCCCCTGCCAAGCAAGGGTGAGACACAAACCCATAGACCCATGCTCGATAAGAAGAAAACAACAAGAAAAAAACAGAAAAGAATAGAAGCCCAACTGAGAAACTGGTCACCACTCGGAATTAAGTTTTATAACCTTGTGTTGAGGTGTAATGTATATACAGAAAAGTATAAAACGTATATACAGAAAAATACAAAAATCAAAGTTCACACCTATGTAACCACCAACGAGATGAAATAAGATCTTCATTACCGATGCCCCCGCGAGACCCCACTGTGTCCCCTTCCCAGTCCCTTCCCCCCTGCCAGGAGGTAACCACTATCCTAACTACTAACTTAGCTTAATTTTGCCTCTTTGAATATTTTACGTAAGTAAAATTATACAGTATTCCTCTGGAGGACTATTTCACGTGTTGCCATTTATTGTCGGGAGGCATTTAAGTTGTTTTTGGTGTGGGTGCTTCTGGAGTACTGCTGAGCATTTTTGTATATGCCTCTTGGTGAGCATATGGACATTCTGTTGGAAGTCTGCCTAACAGTGAGCTGTTGGGTCTAGCTGTACTAATTTGCCCTGCGATCAGAGCGTATGGGCGTTCCAGTTGCTCCACTGCCTCACCAACACTTACCATTGTCTGTGTTTTCCATTATAGCTGCTAAAACAACGGGTGTGAAGTGGTACCACATTATATGGGTTTAGTTTGTGTTGTCTTAATGGTTGCTGAAGTTGAGCCATTTCTTACACTTCTCAGCCATTTGTGTATTCTCTTTCGTGATCTTTCTGTATCACACGGACATAGCGTATAAATGTTTCCAGCCTACATTATGGTTTTATTTTCCTTTTCTCTGTAAATGGATACAAGAGTTCTGAGCAAAAACACTGCTTTGCTGACTTAAAATCTCTGTTGTCGTGGCTCTGAATCTCTAACAACACATTGATCTGCTTGTGAAACACTATCAGATAGCAGCAGTGAACACCCTGAGATCAGCTGAGCTCAGGGAGGGGACACTTGACTAGGAACATTGAGAGATGGTGATAGAGAGAAAGAATCATGGCAGGAGCAAGAATGTCTTCATCCTTCCCGCCACCTAGAACACTTTGGCCCTGCTTCTTTGGCCAAACAAGGGGTTCATATCTTCGCTAAAGTTAATTAGCAATTACTATCACGTATTCAGAACAGTGAATGATTGAAGAGTTCAGGAGAGCAACAAACCTCTAGATGCTTTTTGGAGAGACTCCTCGGAGTTAACATGTTAAAGGAGACAAGCAGTTCTTATATTGACCCAGAAGCTGACATGAATGATGGAGACTGAGAAGTAGAGGCTCTTCTGTTGGAAGTGTCTACACCAGGGTTCCTCCTGCTGTGGAGCTGGGCATCTGGCATCTGAATGCCTGTAGGGGTTACAGCAACCTCCTGGAGGGCATGCAGGTGTATCAGGCCAGTAGGTCACCCTTCAAGAACAAAGTACCCGTGGGAGAACTAACGGTGATCTGGATTGCCAGGGAAGCCCCAGGAGAGAGTGGGAAAACAAAGGAGGGTCATAATAGTAAAATATATGTGTAAGTACAGGCCTGCCTACCTGTATACCTATGTATTCCAGTGAGGATTTCTCTGGCAGCGAATTTCCATCGATAATTCAGAATTAAACTGTGCTCAAAATATTTTCTTAAAATGCCCTCCCCTCCCCACAACTGAAAGGGCTAACTTTATTCAGAAGTTGAGCAGGTAGTTATTTACTTAGAATAATAGACAAAACAGAAATTGCAAACTTCCCTGAGCGAATTCCGCCCACTGTGACTCTTGGACAGGATAATTTTTTAAAAATTTCGAGTGCCTGTCCTCGGGGGCTTGTGCGCTCCAGCTCACCAACGCCCCCTACAGCAGACTGTCTCGCACTCTGGGAAAAGGTGTCCGGCTTTGCAGCCTTTGGCTGCAGAATCTTGGGGTCACAGTTAAGCTAACCTAATCACCACCTGCCATGTACCTCCCTTCTTCTGTATCTCGCCCCTCCTTGACCACCACAGTGAGGAGAAGGTCATTACCTCCAGGTTCATTGTTGGGATAGTCTTCTTGATGTCGAACCACCACCGACCTTCTCACGACTCTCCCCTGTATTTCTTAGTCCTGTCTTTTGAGATGATTGAATAAATTTGTGTCTGTCTTCCCATATCCTGGGAGATCCAAAAGGCCTTTCTGCCCAAAAAACGTTTCACCCTAGAGCTCCTTTTCATTACGACTGTGTTTTCAGAGTGCCTGCGATCAGCTGCCTTGACTTTGCCTGAGGTGTTGAAAATGTGAATTTCTTTACCCACAACAGAAGGTCAAGGAGGCTAAGCTCAGGAATGCGTGTTTTCAATTCTCCAAATGACTCCTAATGCGTATGAACATTAGAGAACCATTGGATCAAGACAATGAACGTATAGGCAGATTTTTTTAATGATTGCTGTTGGAAAAAAAAGAAGCTGTTGGTTTGAGACACTGATCCCATTTCTGAAACTTAATGGAAATGTCCTATTTTAAGAGCTGACTAAAAGGACACGCTGAATTATTATTTTATTCAACAACTATTGATGAGCTTCTGTTCAGGGCACGGTGGGTAGAGTCATAAACAAGTTGGATACCATATTCTAATTTGTAGAAAAAGTTCATGGAGTAGGGTTTTTAAAAATGGGGGAAGCATAGTCAAATTAGTGCTAACTCCACATCTCCGAGCTTTACCGGTGCGTATTAACATATTAGCAACTTAGAAATGCCCTACTTTAAAGACCTTTGTTTACACCTAGCACCTTCCTAACTTATTTGGTCACAGAACCTTTTTTTTTTCCCCCCAAGGAGTATCTCTTCATAGGCTAGTAGTGACAAGAAAATCAAAGTGATGCTTCCCCCCCACCCAAAAAAAGATAGATCACGTATTGATTTCTAACTGGTGCGAGATGCTCCAGGGAGAAAAGGATCTCATGACCATGTAACAGGTTTCATTGTCAGA